CGCATATTGAGGTTGTAGTCCATGACAGCTGCAGGCTTTAGAATGGGTTCATTGGTCTCTCTGTTGTCCCTGCCACTGGGTACCATTTCGTTTGTGTGAACTGATGTCAACAATGTGACATCACGTTTGTCATGCCACCGAAATGCCATGATGTCATTGGCAGCAAAGGCTTGCACCTCACCTCTGCGAGTGCCAGCGTCGAACCTTGGCATATGTTTGCGATTACCACGCACTGTGCCACACACGTCTGTCAAGTTCACTCGCAAGAAATCACTGAGTAAGGGGCTTGTGTACCATTTTATCATTAAATAACATATGCCCCTTACCAAGATATGGTTCCATCATTGTTCGAACCACATCACCAGAGATACCCAATAACTTCAGGGTATCTCTCAAAGTATTACGCCAGTGTACACAATAATATCTAAAACAAGACCACTTCTGCAATCACACAGTACAAATAGCTTTATACCAAAGCGTTTCCTCTTGCTTGGTATATATTGCTTGAATAGAGTCTTCCTTTGAATAAAATCAAGGACTCATCAATAACAAGCTTCCTGAAGGGATAAAAATACATGCAGCACTTTTGTTTCAGGTACATAAACACATTTCTTATCTTATATAACCTGTCGCTTCTGTCAGGCCTGGTTTTTGTCTGAAAAGTGTAACATACGCAACAGTATCAGGAAACGATTGACACCTATAATGTCACTAAAACCTGGAGTTGAAATCAGGCGATCTTTTGTCCAGTATGTGGTGACAGTGTGCTTATACACATGTGGCATAAGCATTATTGTGGCAAAAAACAGGTACATCTCTGCCACAGTTGTCTCCTTCCACTTGTGTAGCCGTGATTTTGGTGAGAGAATTGTATTTGCCATGGTGATTCACAGTATGTGTTGGTTTCCCTGAAAATGATGTCCATCAGGGGTTCATCGAAGAATAACTCAAAGCAGTCCAGTTCACTGGCTTTGTTCCCAAGTGGACAAGATGGCTTTATTCCACTTTGTGTTTCATCAAAGTCATGGGGACTGGGAACAAACTCGTCACCGTCCTGCCAATCCCAGATGCGGTCTGCTGGGGGTCTGGATATTTTTACCGGGTGTGGCTGTGGTTGTGGTTGTGCAGGTTGTGGTGGTGCAGGTTGTGGCAGTGTGGGGTAGGGTGAGGCTGGTTGTTCTGCTGAGTCAGGGCCCCGTGGCTAGTAGCGTGGCCCGGTGATGGTGCCACATGGGCCGTGCCACCCTCACTATCACCACCACTGCCTCCTCCCTCCTGTCACCATTCATACCCATCGTTACAATATCGTCATCTTCACTATCAGGTCGTGGTGTTGCCACGGGATGTGCTCCCAGAGTTTCTCCTTCCCCTTGGAACAACATATGAAACACTACCAGACCGCATGCTACGTCGTAAAATCTGGCGCTTCACTGGGAATATTCACTCTCACTGTCACTAGAACTGCTTTCAATGACTTTGAAATCACTATCACTATCACTTCACTGCTATCATCAGGGTGTTGTACACGACCAAATAGTTTCCTCTTTCGTCCTGGTACAGGCGAACGTGAACGTGAACAAGCCGGCACAGCACCAGAGGTCGAAGGTTGTGGGGCATCTGGGTTTTCGTCACTATTTACGTTATCCTGGGCACTTTTTTCGGGAACACCACTTGAAAACCCTTGAATTCACTGTCACTGGACACTTTCATCGCTGTTAGAGCTATCACTGGGAACAAAAGACCTCCAATCCGCCGAGGATGAGGAACTTCTTACCGAGAGGCATGGTTGAAAATGGACTGACAACATGGCGTTCCCCAATGCAACCCCTAGGTCCCCAGATTTTTTCAAGGTGCACACCGACCACTGAGACCCATTCTCTCCCGTGTAGGCCTATCAGGCCTTTGGCGCTCGATTTGAAGCCGCTAGAATTTGTGCGTATAAATACGTCAGAAACATTGGGCTCGTAAGACGTATTTATACGTCGGAAACAGTCAAAGGGTTAATTAAATATTTGATTTCTTAACTGCCCATCCCCTCTTTTGATACACCTATAATGCCTCTCTTTTGACCAATGAGATGTTTTAATCTATTGTTTCATCCATTTGGGATCATTTTTGTTAGATCTAATTTCCCTACTGGGAACAAAAGTTGTCTGGGCACTAGAACTATGCTCTGAAAAATGTCATATTGGCAACCAAGATCATCACCTGACCCATAGTCAGGACATCCCAATTTTGCCCACCCAGGTAACTTTTCAGTCCCATGAAGTGGGCCAGCGAAAATCTGGAACAGAGATTTGATTGCAGTTATCGGGGTAATTCCATGATGTATTGAAACTAAGTGATTTTTTGATCACTTTTTTCCCAAGCTCATCATTAACCTCAAGATTATTAATTAGTGAATTTTGTTGGCAAGAACCAAGTCAAGCAGATTTTTTTCCTCTAGTTGGTTCTGTCACAACCTGTTCTAAAAAGCAATCCTGAACCGTATCAAGAAAGTCACTAGACTCGAGATTTCCTGTCACATTGTTCCAATCAATTTGTCTAAAGTTAAAATCTCCCATTACCCACAACATTTTCATATCTAGATGCCTTATGAATTCGCCATAACACTTACTCACTCCCTGTCAAGGTTTAGGGGCCTATAAATTACACCCAAAATTAATTTGTCATGTCCCTTGGAAACGAGCCAACAGATTGTGTGTTCGAATTTTTTCAAAACTTATATCATGTCTAAGACAACAATTTAAATTTTCTCTGACAAAACATAGCCACTCCACCACCCTTCCTGTTGACCCTATCAGTGTGGAATAGTTTATAACCCTGTAAGTTGCATTCAGAAGGCATTTCTCTATCTTTCAGGTTGAACCAGGTCTCTGTTATACCAATAATATCTATATTACCTACACTTTGCAAGTAATCTTAGCTCATCTATCTTATTTCTTAGACCCTACAAATTTTTATAAATAAACCTTAAGGGAGCTAGTCACTCGTTGCCCTCTACTGTCTCTCTTTGTTTGTTGATCAATTGATTTGCTATTACTAGCAGCTTTATTTTGAATATTGTCTTTTAAACATATCCCTGAGGTTTCCCGGTAATAACTGCTGTTTTTAACCATAATGCTGCAGCCTGATTGTTTCTCACAAATACCCATACCTCTATAATCTATCAGTTTAAATTCCTAGACAAGTCATCAATTACCCTCTCGGTTGAATTGGCTAATGCAACCACTCCATCCCCAGAGAGATGAACCCCTACACACAGTATTTGACAATTTACTTGGATGCATTACTTCCTTGTGACAAACCACACAATTCACGTTTGTGTTCATGATTGTTTATTGCCAGTGGTCAACTGCCTAGTTGGTGTTTGTTGTAATTTTAGCTAATCAAAACTCTTTTTTCATTATGATGGACACTGAAGTAATTAGAAAAAAAAAAGACACAAAATCCAAATACTAGGAAATTTTATTGGAAATGCTCCAGTCTTATATGTACATTTGGGTCACTCCAAATTTACATATGGGTGGAAAACCTAAACTTATGGTCAGGAAGGCCCCAGAGTGGCACTGAGAGTTAGGTTCAGTGGTAAGTCACATGATGGTTGTATCTGGTGGTGAACAGGGCAAAGCTTGTTTAATTATTACTTGTGCTAGCAAGGTGGAAATATTGCAGCTTCCTGCTTTTTTGTGTGACTGTTATGATTAGATGATCTGTGCACTGACCCAACTCATCAGGTGACCTTCCATGTCCCTGTGGATAACATATACATTATTCATGTTATCTCTGCTGCACAAATATTTGTGTTCACTTATCCTAGTGGACGAACGTTTGTCTGTTTCTTCAACATACTTCTTATTTGCAGTGACCACACAGGATCATGTGGACACCAGTGGTAGAAACTAGCTAGTGAGTAATGAGTTGCTTCCTAGTGAATTCCTTGATGGATGTGGAAGCTGCAGTATCCACTTAGATGTTGCTCCTAGCTAATGCACATTTTGTATTGCTAGTCACACTGCCACAAGGAAGGACCATATACCTCTTTGCAGTTAGTTTCCTGGAAGCTGTGTTGAGCACGGTTTTCACCCATCATCTACAGTCACGTACAAAGGCAGGATACTGAAGTTGTGTATTTTGCTTGAAAATGTAGGTACACTTCTCATGGAAATAGGAATGAAAATGCAGAAAGCTGTCAGAAAGAAACCTATAACTAAAGTTCTTTTGGTCCATGTGTCATGGTGAAAGTATAAATTTACTAGATTGCATTTGTAGTTCCTGAACACTTCAAAGGACAGAGTGATGCTGCTCTTTCTCAAACTGCCTCTTTATTGAGCTCTAGGGTAAGCATAACAGTAGTATTTCATCTACATACAGCAGTCATGTCACAGTGCTGTATATTATGGACTGGAACTCCTCTGGTTTAAAAGTCACAGACATGAAATATGAAGTGAGCTTATGAGAATGATTCACTTTTTGTCAACCCCGACTTACCTTACAAAACTAAGATTTATCTCATCCTTGGATACATGAATCAGCTGGAGAAATCTCTTCAGCAGTATATTAGAGATTTTTTTTTCTTTTTTTTTTTTTTTATAATTCATGTTAAGCGCTAAACCCATGTGGGTCATTCAGCACATGACGTAGTGGAGGTTCGATCCTCCATCTGTTGAGCACGAGACAGACACGCTCCCTGTTTGCACTCACAATTAAATACCTGTTCTGGATCAATTAACAATTAACTCACTAATTGGGAAACTTTATACATATGACCAATCTTTGAAATAATCAAGTTCTGTAAACTTATTACTCGAGTGCTTCCTATGTTGTACAATCAACTTAAAAGCTGCTAGGAAGGGTTGCCAATTGGATAATTAACCTACACCAATGAAAAACTTAAGACAACATTAGTGGAGGGCTAGCAGTATGGAATGCCTCAGGAGTGTAAAGTCCCACCACCCCTCCAGTATGTGCTACCTCTGAAAGAGGAGGTCAATACTCACTGTAGTTCCTCACACTCCTTCTTCTTGGGGAGATAGGTCTTCACCAGTCGTCTGCAACAACCAGACACCATGTGTTAATAAACAGCACAACTAATGAAATGAAATGCGAATAAAAAAAAAAGATATCAATGTCATCAATTTGTGGTTGTTGTGTGCCTGCATGCAGTCTTCATGATGAAAGCACAAGTAGTTAGTTCCTGGAAAATGTATAATACTGGCACCCAAGTGCAGTTGGGGCCCCTGCTGCCCCCTGGTCTACTCATCAACATATGTAGCAGCAAAAGCAACACACTTCAACATGTCTAAGAACATTGAACATTGTACCATAGCCTACAATAGGGGCTACTGGCAGCCCTGTCTTTACAAGTGTCCTAAATTAAACAACTATTTTGCTGCACCTTCGCCATAGGGTCATCACCACCAAACAGATCATCCTACTGACAAAAACCCATATTTGTCGGCATTTTCCCTAAATAATGAACCAACAAAACAAAGACATGGAATATGTGAATGAAAAAAAAGGACAAAGTTGGAGCTAGACTGAGCAGATATATAAGTATGGTGTTCAAATTACAATTAATATACTAGAACACACAGCAATGTTCTTGAATTATTCAAACTTAAAATTAAAAAAAAATATAAAGAAGGCTTTCATGTCGCAGCTGAGTTGTCAATGAATGAAACTGCGAAGTACAGTGGAACCTTGGTTTTTGTCTTTAATCTGTTCCAGAAGGTTGGCCAAAAACCGATTTGTATGAAAACTGAAGTAATATTTCCCATAAGAAATAATGTAAAACTAATTAATCCATTCCAGACACCCAAAAATATTAACAAAAATAGATTTCATAGAGAATAACTATAGTTTTACATACAGATAATCCCTGGTTATCAGCCATAATCCGTTCCTGAAGGTCGGCCTATAACCGAAATGGCTGATAACCAAATTAATATTTCCCATAAGAATTAATGGAAATAAAATTAATTCGTTCCAAACAACAATATTCAATTATGTAAGTATTCAATTATGTAAGTATTACATACCTTTATTGAAGGCTAATGCTGGCTTCTGGAAGATAGGTAGGAGGAAAGAGGGAGGAGTTAGTGTTTGGAAGGGGAATCCCCCTCCATGAAGACTTTAGGTAGCAATGCCTTCTCTGGGGTTACCTCCCTTCTCTGTCTTTTAATGCCACTAGAACCAGCTTGAGAGTCACTGGACCCCTGTCTCACAAAATAACTGTCCAGAGTGTTCTGTTTCTGGAGTCTCTCAAAGATTTCCCTGAAGTGGGACAGGGTTTTGTCACATGTTGCAGATATGGCTTGTTTCAGCTTTGTCAGGGTGGTGTTTCTCTACAAAAGCTTGCACCCTGGTCCACATTGCACACACATCTTTAATCTCTGAAGAAGGCACCTCCTTCACTCCCTCTTCCTCCTCCTCTGAAGCAAGTTCCTCAGCTGCAGTCTGTTGCTGTTCAAGCTGAAGCTCTTGCAGCTCTTCAGTGGTAAGCTCTTCCCTGTGGTCTTCCACCAACTCTTCCACATCCTCACCACTCACCTCCAACCCCAGGGACTTCCCCAAAGACACAATAGAGTCCACAGGGTCGGCAGGGTCAGGGTCACGGTCTCAAGCCCTTCAAAATCCCTCTCTTGGACACAATCTGGCCACAGTTTTCTCCAAGCAGAGTTCAAAGTCCTGGAAATCACTCCCTCTCAAACCTTACCATGGAGCCATGGTTACTTATTTCACAGTTGCACTGCAAGAAAAACCACTAAAAACAATGGTAAACAAGCAAAATGTTTGGATGTATGAGCAGAAGCTTCCTCAGCCACCAAGAGACAAAGCCAAACTGAAGCGCAAGCTGCCCCAGCTGGCAGATAGACGCGTCCAAAATGGCCGATAACTGAGCGAACGGCCGATAACCGAGCGCCGAAAACCCCGCCGATAACCGAGTTGGCCGATAACCAAACTGGCTGATAACCGGGGGTCCACTGTAAATGTAAATGACTAATGAAATGGATAAATGAACATTTAACATCACTTTTACCTTCACTGAAGACTCTTATTGGCGTATGGAAGATGGCGAGGAGGGGAGAGGGAGGAGAGGTTTTTGTTTGGAAGGGAAATCCCCCTCCATAAGGACTTCAGGTATCAAGGCCCTATCCAGGGTTACTTCCCTTCTTTGTCTTTTACTGGCACTAGGACCAGCTTGAGAGTTACTGCACCCCTGTTGCACAAAATATCTGTCCAGAGAGGCCTGTTTCTGGCATCTCTTTAAGATTTGCCTAAAATGGGACACGGCATTGTCATTGAACATGTTGCTGACACGGCTTGCAACAGCTTTGTTAGGGTGATATTTCTCCACAAAGCTTTGCACCTCACTCTACTTTGCACAAATGTCCTTAATTGCTGAAGAAAGCACATTCTCCCCTCTCTCTTCCTCCTCCTCTGAAGCAATTTCCTCAGCTAAGGTCTGTTGTTGTTCCAGATAAAGGTCTGCAGCTCTTCAGTGGTTAGCTCTTCCCTGTGGTCATTCACCAACTCTTCCACATCCTGGCCACTCACCTCCAACCCCATGGACTTTCCCAAAGACACACAACAGGAGTAGGGTCGTCAGGGTCAGCCTCAAACCCTTCAAAATCCTTCTGGAGGACACATTCTGGCCACAATTTTCTCCAAGAAGAGTTAATCATCCTGGAAGTCACTCCCTGCCTAGCCTTATCTATAAGGCTTACGCAACTGAGGATATTGAAGTGATTCCTCCAGAACTCTCTTAGGGTCAATTCAGTGTCTGAGGTCACTTCAAAGCATCTTTGAAACATTGCAAGCACAAAAAACAATGGATTAGCATAGGCACCACCAGTGGTGCCTATGCTAACCTTATTATGGTGTAGAAATATACCTAGTTAGACGAATCTTATTAAGCTAGCTGGCCCAGTGGCTAACGCGACGGTCTGGAGTTTGGAGACTCTCTGACCACAGGTTCAAACCCCACCCGTGCTATGGTTTTTTTGCAACCGTGTCATTATGATTTCGCTGAGTCATGTTGACTGGCTTTGAGGGGACTTGAGCTAGAGTTCGTCACGGCCATGCTAGCGGGAGATTCGTCTGTAAAAAACTAAGTAAGGAGAGGCGGTATTCGACAGCTTTACCTAACAAGGTGCCATAAACTACATTAAGTGTGGAATAAAGAAGTGATCATAAACATGAGGGTAGACACCTCTTGGGAGAAGACTCCACTTCAGTGATATGTAACCTGATAATACAACATACTTGAAGGTTACCTGACGACGATTTTGGGGATCACCATCCCCACAGCCTGGCCCCAGACCAGGCCTCCCAGTTCCTGGCCTGGTCAATCAGGCTGCTGGTGTTAGCTGAACACAGTCCAACATGGGCACCCCAGCCTGGCTGATCAGGAAATGTCGAGTAATTTATGAAGCACAATCTTGAAGACAGCTAAGCATATGTTGGTAATTGCTCTTATGCATGAAGGGGGTGCATTAAGTCTTAGTCCCTTTACACTTACCATGTTACCTGATTCTCACTGGGGTATTCTGCATTGTCTGCCAAGCTTCTTGCTTGCACTGGGAGTAATTTTAATGTGCAAATTTGGAACCAATCTCTCCTGGCTCTTCCAATTATAAATTATAATGCATCTTTCTTCCCTACATTATATATAAAACAATTCGAGGGATTTTAAGGGTTTCCAGTAACTTAGGTGCGAAGATTCTCCAGATTTGCAATATCACCTGCCTTAAAAGAGGCTGTTAGTACACAGCAATTGTCCAGTCTAGAGAGAACAAGCCATTAAAGAGTATTGTCAACTTGGCATCTCAAAGATTTTAGTTATCCAACCTATCACTTTCATTGAGGTGGTGATAATAACACTTGTGTTATCCTTGTATGTTACACATGACATTATCATTCTTAATTCCCTGACATTTTACAAAATTCTCAAGAGCTAAATCTTGCATTTAAATCACTCAAATAATGGCTGCACATGAAATCCATGAGCCTCGTTAGAAATACTAGTCATGCAAAAAATTAAAATAAAGAAGGGAATGAGTATGTAAGACAAATTAAAAATAAATAATAAAAGAAAAAAGGAAATGCAAGTTTTAGGTGGCCAAGGAAATAAAGTTGAGTCTCAGAAAAACTGTTTTAAATGTATCAAAGACTAGAGAAAAGATGGGCCACTGATAATGAAGAAACTGGAACTGGTGTTGTACAGCCTCTCTCACTTTGCGACGTACTGTACTCGTTTACTGAAGACTCGGACTTATGACAGGCTCTGTGACCAGTATGCATACCTAAATAATGTATATTAGAGCTGATTTCTTCTATTCTGTTTATTACAATATACACTACACTACTGTATAAACATTTAAAAATACAGTATACCAGAAGTGTTATAATTGGTGCAAAGGTTACATTAAGACAATATCAAAGATGGTTGATACAAGCCCACTACCATTATAGTATGCTCCTCGCTTAGCGGCAAATTTGTTTACCGACATGAGCGCAGGAATGGAACTCTGTCGTTAAGTGAGGAGAGGCTGTATTTGAGAGTATTCTATATCAATATTTACTATGGAAGAAATATATGGGAGGGCCCCACTTAAACAGTAGGTTAGGTTCCAGGCTCCTGCTGTACACTGAAAAATCATTTCACTTTCAAATGCATATAAAAGCCTGATAACTTGTTTACACTATCATATATTAAATGAGCGATATAGCTAGGCCTAAAAGATGCATATCCATCATACACCTTACTTACCTTAAAATATTTTCATCTTTAGCAGTGCGTGTTGAATATATTTATTGTAGGAAGCCTGAATAAATAAAGAATGGGTATAATTGAAAACCGATGTACAGTGGTACCCCAAGTTTCGTACAGCTCCCAACTCGAACAATTATTTAAGTTTATTATTGTAAGTGCTTTTGTAAGTATATTTTTGGGGGGTCTGAAATGGACTAATCTAATTTACATTACTCCTTATGGGAACAAATTCATTTGGTAACAGCACTTGAATAGCCTTCTGGAACGAATTAT